GCAAAATATATATCAAATATCAAATCGAGAGAGATAAAACCACTCAATGCATCCAATAAAATCTTGCAATGATCAAGCACCCTTTAGTTAGTTAATATAATATATACACTCCCCTCCATAAGTTTGGCAACCTTTTTTCTCCATTGAACTACGTGTTAAAGCCTCTTTACGTTTGAATTTTTATTTACTTAACCGGCGATGAAATAACTTATAATATTGATGGAAACGTTACTTTATTTCCAATACCTCCAAATTTTCTCAATTTTTTTCCTCAATTACAATAGGTCGAAAATTGATGATGAATTTGATGAATTTTTGAAAACCGTCATTCCCATGTATTCCAATGGGAAATGGAGGGTTCGGGGCAAATCAGAAATCAGGATATCTTTTCAGTAAAAGATTCAGCAAAAAATATTTTTATATAGAAAATTGAATTGTTTAACTTTTTTGAACACTAAGTGTTTAGTTTATTTGATGAATATTAAAGTTACAGCGCTTCAAAGTCATTTTTGAAAATAATTTTTCGCCTCCTGTGTTATTTCAATGGGAGAGGTTTTTTGAAAAACAATTTTGACTTTAAAGCCCTTTAACTTTGTTGAACCTGAAGAAACATATCAATTTTTTGTTAAATAAAGTTAGCAAATTCAATTACCTGCCTAACTCGTATATTTTGCAAGGACTTGGATGGATGGATATTCTGTCATATGACTTGCTGCAAACCTACCATTTCCCATTGGTTAACATGGAAATGTCGATTTTCAAAAATTCATCAAATTCATCATCAATTTTCGACCTACTGTAATTGAGGAAAAAAATTGAGAAAGTTTGGAGGTATTGGAATTAAAGTCAAATTACGTTTCCATCAATAGTATAAGTATTTTCATCGCAGGTTAAGTAAATAAAAATTCAAAGGTAAAGAGGCTTTAACACGTAGTTCAATGGGGGAAAAAAGGGTTGCCAAACTTATGGAGGGGAGTGTAGATAATTAGTTAAGCTTTTTCATTTTTTCTGTATAAGCTGTACAACTTGCCCAAAAGTGGGATACAAGTAAATTAAAGCTCATAATAATAATAATAATATATGGTGCATTCTACGCATTTCAAACTGTAATTTGTTAATGTTTTTTTCAACAAATTTTCAAAATTGCTTTTTTCTGTTTTTTTTTTTTTTTGTGGCCATCGCACCCCTGGCTACGCCAAAGTATTAAAAACATAAGTCTCTCGGAGGTACAGCCTAAAGATAATTAGTATGTAATTTTAGGCTAATTCTCACAAGAGATTCTATCTGATGGACACATTTGGTTCTACTTTCTGGCTAATCGCATGTCTTTGATTGACAGCGCTCAGAGATAAGGCGAACCACTATTACTCGTGTTACAACTGGTTACCACGTTAACTGTTGCTTATCGTAGCCTAATCTAAACGTTTCTAGGTACCAATTACTGAATAATAATATGTGTAACGCTGTAAAGGGCTGCATCTAAGAAATTTTGTCTAAGATCCAAAATCAGCGTTAGGATTAATTGACTACAAACACATAGCAGAGACCCACGGAATTCAGAGGTGTCGAGGAACTAAAATTCAAGCAAATTAACTGTATGATGCAGCTTATTGATTTTTCAAATCGAAACTTCCTTCCTCATTAAATAAATTCGAAATTATTATGAGGTTTTGAAAATAGATGGATTCGCAATGCACGAGCTGTTTTAGTGTCCTAATAAATAGCATAAAAGCGCATAGGCGTAGCCACTGGGGGGGGGGGGGGTTGCGATCGCACCCATAACCAATAAAAATATAACCATGAGATAGCATAAGAAAAGATTTAAAATGCTTTTTTATTTGAAACCTCTAGCTCAATTGTGAAGGAAGTTGCATCAAATTTTGTAAATTCAAGATAAATCTTAATATTTTGGCTTGTTTTTGCTTGTTTATAGCTGAAAACCGAAATTATTTAGGCGATCGCACCCCCCTGACTGAAAGCTGGCTACGACCCTGAAGCGTAAATGTCTAGGAACCTACTGTAGTAGTCATTTCTGAAAATCATTTTTCGCCTCCTGTGTTATTTCAATGGGAGAGGTTTTTTGAAAAACAATTTTGACTTTTATTTCTACTCACATCTGGGATATTTGTTTTAGTACAGCTTTAAAGTCAAAATTGTTTTTCAAAAAACCTCTCCCATTGAAATAACACAGGAGGCGAAAAATTATTTTCAAAAATGACTTTGAAGCGCTGTAACTTTAATATTCATCAAATAAACTAAACACTTAGTGTTCAAAAAAGTTAGACAATTCAATTTTCTATATAAAAATATTTTTTGCTGAATCTTTTACCGAAAAGATATCCTGATTTATGGTTTGCCCCGAACCCTCCACTTCCCATTGGATTACATGGGAATGACGATTTTCAAAAATTCATCAAATTTATCATCAATTTTCGACCTATTGTAATTGAGGAAAAAATAGAGAAAATTTGGAGGTATTGGAAATAAAGTCAAGTTATGTTTCCATCAATATTATAAGTTATTTCATCGCCGGTTAAGTAAATAAAAATTCAAACGTAAAGAGGCTTTAACACGTAGTTCAATGGGGGAAAAGGGTTGCCAAAAATTTACCTGATAGGGCCTTCAATAATCTTTCATTTGGTACCAAGATTATTTAAAAACGGATAAGAAATGGGAGAGTTGTACAAAGCAGGTTATTTGTGATTTAAATAGTGTTAATAGCAGGTATTTTGATTAGTGTCTGTTTCCCTGGCAATCGGATCATTTTCTGAACTTCTCATTATGTGGAAGATGTGGTCGAGATGCTTAGCTGTCAAAAGATACCATACCAAAAGAAAGGTCTACATTTTGCTGTTTATTTTCCAGCTATGTACTAATTAAAAAGGTGTAGGCTATATCATCTAGACTGTTTGAGCTATGTTCTATATTTAGCAGTTATGTCCCTATCATTGAATATATGCCTAAGGTCTGTCACCAATAAAGCCCGAGCTTGCGAGGGTTATATTACGACAGACCGAAGGCATATATTCAATGATACGGACATAACTGTTGTATTACATACTTTTATATCATGGCTACGTTATATCAATGACGCCACGTGTCTGTGTGCGAGTGAAATTAGGAAGAAATGAAACATGACGTCCTGATGACGTCATAAGATTGTCATGGTAAAATGTTTGGCGGCTATACAGGAATGTATAGCCGACGTTCAGCTCCATTGACTTCAATACAAATGCTTCGCTGGGTATGTAATACATCAAAATAAAGCCTGTCTGTCCCACATGTATCTTCTATGAAAATATTACACGTTTACTGCGCTTATTTATTATGTTATATATTATATTATATATTTATAATATTATATTTTAATAACTTGCTGAAAGTTTAAAATTTGCTCAAAATATTAGGAAAATTGCAATTATGACGTCACAAAAGATATGCAAATGATCTAATTTACACAAATTATACTTTATCTGAAAGTGCACTCAACATGCTTTCATTTGGTACCAACATTATTCAAAACGGATAAGAAATGGAAAAATTATAAAATAAAACGTGTTATTGGTGATTTAAATACTGTTAATAGTAGGTATTTTAATCAGCGTCCGTTTCCATGGCAGCGGGACCACTTTCAGAACTTCTCATTATTTGGAATATGTAGTAGATATGTTAAGCTTTCCAAAAATACCAAGAAACCCTACAGGGTCAGTCGATCCTTTTTTTCTTTAAATAAGCACTTTTTGGCAAATCCCTACTCGTCTATATGTTTTTTAAAACATAAAACAATGACAAATACGTAAAATACTATCTATTTGAATGTTATAGAGGTATTAGAACGTTTATTTATTCAGAGGGCATGTCTAATAGTTTAGATATATGCAATCAAACGCCTTACATTTCTCTTTCGACGTTACTGCTGGATATCAAAACCATTTTTTCTCAAAGCTTCATGAATTCGACCAAATCTGTGTTGTAATGGTGGTTGTTTTATAAACAACTGAGCAATATCTAACTGGGGGCAAAATAATTTTAGCCGAAGCCACAGTAAGTCAATGAAGAACAATACGCCCCTCTTTATTGATGGTTGACTCCTGACGGTGACAGTCCATATCTCAAAACGTATTAATACCCATTTTTCGAAAAACTACAATTTTATTTTTAGCATATGTCATTCTTATATAAAAACGATTCATTGATACCATTTACATCACATATATTGAAAAAATAATTCAAATTGTTGATATGCTGATTACGTATTTTTGTATTTCTTAGAAAAATAACATCAAAGGAGTGGTATCGATATGGAGAACTGAATTCAACAATGTTTTTCTCTTAAACCAATCATTGAAATCATTCTGTAAAAAACACGCTATTTTATGTAATGTTGTTGTTGTATATATACAGGGTGTTCAGGAAATAAAGATAATAATGTCATAACTTTTTTTTATTTCTTCATGGATTTCAATGAATTTGCAGGGATTATAGTTTCAACATATTTAAACTTACTTTTGGAGTTTCAGCTTCAAGCGATTTGATTTGTCATTTCTCTGGTTGGCATAGCAATGCGAGTAGCACTAAGGCGGATCACAAGGAATAGCTGCAGTAGTTTCTGTGTTACATTTAGCATTGCAAGCCGATTTTGACTCCATATTTAAAGCTTTCTTGGTGCATCTCCATGATAAAATTCTATAAGAGTCAAATAAATGCGTTTTAATGATATTCAATGGGATTTTCATGAATTAATGCAGGCATTACATAGAAAGCGACCTGGGATGGAATTTCTCTTCTTCTTGGTGCAATTCCCCCTCCCATACTGCTGCCATAATCACTAAAGGAATTGATCAGCTGAGATTAGAGCAACTTCAACATCCACCTTATTCACCCAACCTAGCGCCAAATTATTTATACTTCTTCGCTGAATCAAAACGGGACTTAAGAGGACATGCATTTGAGAATACCCATTCCATACGTTCACATGTATTGTATGGTATTGTATTGTATTGTATTGTATTGTATTGTATTGTATTGTATTGTATTGCTTTTTATTCCTCCTTATATAGAAGAGTACAATCAACGTGCAAATATAAAACTCACAATATAAAATTACATCAATTCAACAAACATCGAAACATGTGAACCAACAAACAAATAAAAAATAAATAATAAAAACACATGGATGCGATAAAATAATAAAATATAAACATATGTACATCATACAGATATTCATGTATTGTTTTCTATTACATGATTGCAATCATGTTATGAGTTAAATTGAGTAAGGTACTGGACAAGATTAGAGATCTTAATTGCGCAATATGAAATGTATTGCTCCCAGATTTCTTGCTTACAATTTTGGAGGACATGTGCCTCCAATAAGGCTTCTATCAAAATGTTGTCTTCAGCATTAAATAATGCAACAGAATCAATGGGATCTAGAATATCTACGATGCGTTCAAACAAATTGTCTCGAAGTGAAATTACTGCTTGGCATTCTAAGACAGCATGTTTAACTACATCATTAGTTTCTATTTTGCATGCTTTACATGTCATTTTTTCATACTCGGTGTTTAGGATAATCAAATTCAAAAGTTGCGCGAATGTCCAAGTTAATGCTGGGTACTTGAGTCCGAGCTTCCAATGAATAACTGTTTTATATTCGAGTTGGATGTTTTTATAACGAAATGTCTTAGGATTATTCATGACAGACTCTCTCCATAGAGACTCCTCTCTATTTTGAATTTGTGCGACGATGTAACTTTTCCACTTCTGTTTGGCAGGGAATGACCCAGTACGTATAAATTCTGAGACTACTTCTTGTAAAGCAGGGTATTTCTTACAAATATCAAAGACGTCCGAGATAAAACCTGTGCTCGTAAGATGTGCGCCATGCCGTATAATGTAGCTACTGATGCGTCTTAAAAACACTTTAAACTGTATATAGAATCTGGTTGGGACGTGCAATTCCCCCTCCCATACTGCTGCCATAATCACTAAAGAAATTGATCAGGTGAGATTAGAGCAACTTCAGCATCCACCTTATTCATCCAACCTAGCGCCAAATGATTTATACTTCTTCGCTGAATCAAAACGGGACTTAAGAGGACATGCATTTGAGAACACCCATGCCATACGTTCACATGTATTAAACAGATTTCAGGAAATGAGTCAAGAAGAATTCTGTGAAGTATTTGAAGAAGGTTCAAGAGGCAAATAGTTAGTTGCTATGACAACCACAGAATCAACCAATCAAATCACCTGAAGCCGAAACTCCAAAAATAAGTTAAAATATGTTAAAACTATAATCTCTCAAACTTTCAATGCAATCCATGAACAAATAAAAAGTAATGACATTATTATCTTTATTTCCTGAACACCCTGTATATCTTTCAAATTATATTGTTACCATTCAAAAGATGACCATTAAATTGACGATGTGTTAAATTTTAAGATTTTTATGACTGGTTTAAGAAAAACGTGTGTTCAAAAAGTTCTCCATATCGATACCACTCCTTCATAGTTGAGAAAGCTATAACATACACTCAAAATTTATTTCATATAATTTTCTGTAGCAGTATGTACTCGAAATTGTAAATTTAGTTTTTACTAATATTTTTGACCCCTGCTAAAGACACGCATAGTTCAGTCCAAAAGCCCGAAGAATATCGAACGTCTGCACTATATTGTGTTACCAGCTCCTTAATTAGGCGTCCTAGGAATTTCATACCATGGACTATAAAAACGATGTAGAAATCACCAACTAGCAATAATGTACAATATTTCCTTACAACCGGAAATCAGCATCCATTTCTGGAATAAATTGAGAAAACTGTTCACAACCGGGCAACTGCGGACATAAAATAAGTTCGAAATTTCGCTCGGAGTGTGAAAAATGACGGTTTATGACAGTTCTTAACGCTTTGCAAAGGTTAGGTAGTAATATATTAGCCTTAATGACGACAGTGCTGTTTAAGTGAGAGCTCTGACAACACATCCACATAAGCACCTGTCTTCCATCATTTCATAAGAAAAATGATTTGTAGTTCTTGCTGGCTAAATGTTTAGACGGCCATGTTTTTGTACCATTACAATTTATCTGTAGAAGATTTACGGACGTATTTTTTGGTGTTTACCGATTTTTGCTTTTACTAATTTATTGGTTTCCGTTGTTTGTGCATACTGTAATGGTGTTCGACGCCTTTGTATAACTTTAGACGTATATAAATACAAAACGGTTGAACAACAATTCACTGCTTGGTATAATAATAATATTATTCTTTATTAATAACAGAATATAATACTCTTTAATGTTTGTATTAAATAATATTCACATTTATACATTGTATACTGACTATATACATATACATATTTAAATAACTTTAATCGTGTATATTATAATTAATTGTGTGTTTTGAGCCATACAAGTGGTATACGAGTATCTCCCAAAATGTTAAAAAGGCCAACATCATCTTCACTGTTATACCAGTATGGTCACTATTGTATGCTTTTATCACTATGGCAACTAATTGTCTCATAACTCATGGCAATGCTGTGCGGTAGAGTCATCCCCTTGGCCTCAAACGGAGACTGTATATGTGACATCATGGAAGCTGAAAAAATATACAATTTTTAAAACTAAAAACTAAAAATCTGTTGTCTGGTTGGATGGTGCAATTTTCACCTCATGTCCTCTCTTTTCTGGAAGGTCTTAAGAACTGGGAACATTTTGTGTTGAAAGAAAATATTATTGTTTTGACTTAGTGTAGTAACCAGCAATCTGGCGACTGTTTTTGTTTTCAGAGGAATCCAAGACCGTTCAGCTGTTCTGCTTTTACATCAATTTAAGAGCAATTTACAAAGTTGCGGTAATAGTAAGGCTCTTTAGGCATATACATAAACTAAAATTACGAAGTAGGTGTAATGTTTCAAGCCTGTTGCTTCATTTGATAGACGTGAGTGTTGCCCCTCAAGATTTCCAAAATTTGGGGAATGCCCTGTACCCTATTTAAGGGTTGTGTATAGTCTAAATGGAGTTAGCGTTCCTACATATCCCACTGACGCTCTGACAAATACAATATCAACTTATTGGAATGCAACCCATTGCCAGAGTAAATTGTTCTAGTCCATTGTGACCATTAAAGTATATTTTTCGTTCAAAAATAAACATTTAGATGCAGTAATTAAGAACACCATGATAATTCATGAATGGATGAAATCAAAAACTATTTACTGACTAACTAGTTGCCACCAGCAAAACACAAGCTAAACAACTTTATAAATTCGTTGACAATGTATTCAACTCTGTGATTCTTTCACACAAACAAACCACTTGTTCAACTCACCTTGGATATGGGAAGGATTGTGTGAAGACTGTGTGAAACTAGAACTCAAGTTCTGAGCGCCAACTCGCGGAAAATTGAACGGGGCATTATAGGAGTCGCAACTAGTCCTGTCTGAGTTGAGGCCATGGTAACTGTTCCCAGGGTAAACGTGTTCAGTGTTATCTATAAGAACACAATATCGTTAAACATTAAAATTAAAATAGAGATAATTCTAACTAACTCTTGGTATACAATATGTGAGCAGATATGACGGATCAAGACATACACGCTCCTTTGGTCTATTTTCAAACAATACCTGATGTTCATGATTATCAATTTGATATCAGATTTTTCAGAGAAGGGGAAGTGATCATTATTTACTGAGTATACGTAAAATATTGAATATCAACATAGAAAACAAACAAAATAAATATCTCAACTTTAGATAAACTAAAATACGCTGGGTGGAGTAGTTGTTAATCCTCATTTAAATAAAAGTATATTGAAAGGTATGAACATGGCTTTAAACCGAATTGTCTTCAACCGCGTGTGACTTTGCATTATGAGAGATACTTATACGATACCAATAGCATTCATATTCAAATGTTAATAAAATAACTTTCACAATACCACGGTTCCACCTCTAAGCCCTCACAATGAAATGTTGTTTTCATGACAAGAAATTTTTATTGTTATCTAGTAGATGTATTTATAGTCCTGCCACTTTTTGTCATGACCTGTATGGAGAGGGATTTGATGGACACGGAGATATGTTGAAATTGGGATGTTCGTGTTGGTTTGGGATATTAGTGGGATTCCGATGTTGTTGTTATAAACCAGTTGACTGACGATGGATAAGAAGAACCTGAAGATGTCAATCTGAGCAAATGTGAAGGCGTGCGAGATAATTAATAGATATGTAGATTATGTAATGATTTGTAAGATTTTATAGTCATCCACATTTATATCATGTTTGGTCGATGTTTGTAGAGAAATAAATAAAAAGGTCGACACACAAAAATGCATTTTCAAAATACCCGCTCTCGCTCTCGTCAAAGCTAACAATAAAAGACTAGTGCAAATTCATCTCCGACTTCCAAGCAAGGTGTTATAAAAGTTGAAGCAAGTGAAACCTTGTGAATCAAAATGCGCAAATTCCCAAAAAGGGAAATGTTGCATGTTAACGACGAGAGGATCCTTATTTCTTAATATGTTGTTCATCGGACTGCTCTGATGATCCATATCTTTATACTTTATCTTTACCTGGATTATATGGGGTTTCGTATCCGAAAGTTACATTTGGCGCAGGTACGCCGTCCATTTGCCGCGAGCAGTACATCCCTGGGTACAGTCGGCTCAAAGTCCGTGGATCACGGAAATACCTCGCCCGCTCCATCAATGGCGCGATCTGCTTTAATCTGCGCTCTTTCGATCGTCTATTTTGAAACCATACCTAAAATCAAATTATGAATTATATAGTAAAACAACATTTAATCATGAATTTGGTTTCACTTACATATTTATTAGACTCCAGATGTCTATTGTTTTTACCAGTATTCTTCTTCTTCTTATTATTATTCTTTAGACGTTTTTTCAATAACTACAATGTATCCAATACAGACCATTATAAAGTTTATTTACGTTCAGTATCTAGTTATAATACTTATATAATTCTATTCAAAAGTTGAAATCCATCCTGAGAGCGAATCGGTATGGCAATGCTCTAGTCCTGTCAAAAACATTCTCAATTAGAGTCCATGGCGTCCTATTTAAAGACACAACAGTATCATGCCACCATCCTGTCGTCCCTTTCATAAACATAGTTTCTTATCTTGCCAATTTCGGACATCGATATATTGTAACTCGAGAAGAAGCATTTGGACCAACTAGTCATACAAACAGTCGCAATCGGAGACAATAACAATGTAAAAGACTATCAAGATATGATATGATATCCTGTAAAGACACAATGAACCAAAGTAGGATCGACAGATTCAAGCGAAAAATAGCATTCCAAATTCAATATATTCTAGCGATCCTTATCACTTTTTATGATTGTTTTTATTTTGGCATGAATTTTTGTCAATTTAGAATAAAAATGCCCGGTGACTTGGGTATTTTTCAGAAAGTCACCATGCTATACAAACAATCAGACTGTATTTAGTAAGCTCTTTTACAGCAACCGACAAATTCCAACATTACCAGGAAACAAATGTCACGACAATTCCCTGTCAAATATCAACATTTCTTTTAGGTTTCCCTGCTCCACATGACTCGTAAGAAGATTTATTTTTCCAGCTCACTAGAAACTTTCAACTGTTTGAAACTTCTACCCCTAGTATATAATATATCTATAAACCTGGAGGCATCACGCCAGGAGAAATAACACTATGATTGCTAGTTTGTTTTGTTTTTATGTTGAGGAATTTTTCTAAGGAACTTCCCTCAGATGTGAAATGTTGTTTTTACACTTAAAAATTGGTGTTCGGTCACACTGTAAGGCAACTTTGGGGTAATTAAACCCGAATTGAGCTTATTATGTTACTTTTATCTGCAAACTGTCTGTGTCTGCTTTCTTCTCATAATTATAGCAATAACATCTTCTTCAAATAACCTTTCTACAATTTCTCTTGTTATCGTATCAGTTTTTTAAAGTCAGTTGAAGCATCAATTGTGGTTTTAATTTAGACATTAGTTTAATGGTCAGTTAGTGTGAACAGGTATGTCATATTGTAAATCCAATTTGGATCGTATATAGCCAAATGTGGTCCCCATTCCACTAATTTATGTGACCAAATTACAATTAATCTTATAATTTTAATCTTAAAAGATAAGTGACAATAAGGGCTATTTAAAAAACAGACCATAGTTTCTGCAGGACCACAATTTCGTTTAAGCCAGGCCATCTTCCGACCGACTGGTTTTAAACCTCGTAAACAATGGTGAAAATGTAAATAATTTCTCTACCTGAATAACTCGCATGCTAAGTCCAGTGCGTTCTGCTAGTTGCTCCCTGACGGCTCTGTTGGGCTTTGGAGTTAGTCCAAATTGCTCCTTTAGTGAATCTAACTGTCTGGCTTTGATTGTCGTCCTTGGCCCTCTTTTTCTCGAGCCTGCATTGCCGCCGGACACACTTTCCTCTCCCTCCTTGTTGGCAGTAGAGTCGTCTTTAAATGAATCGTTTGAATCCTCATCGGATACCATGATAGAGTCTAAATCGCTAGCTTCTGATTTAATCTGCATTTGATTTGTTTCTCTAAATTTACTCGTTGTGGTGTTGTTAATTTGTCCTGAGATAATGGAAGTTTTGGACGACTTGGACGCTCTTTTTGGTGACTTATTGGTATGAGATTTGTCCTCAGGTATGTGAGAATTTTTTTCTGCCCCAATGTCTGGTTTCGGACTGGTATCTGTGAAGCTGAACTCTCTGTCTGATGCGCTGGGGCTTGTGATCGTACTGTGATCAGATGTGTTGTCGAGACTTTCGATTCCTTCATCTTCAGAATCTGGAATTGTAATAGCAGTGGCAAGTTAAACAATGACTACCCTTTTAAACAGAAGAAATATTTTCGAGTTTGCGTCTTTAAATGGGGCTACATGTTAAGTTGTCATTTTCGAGAAAGAGCTAGATATAGCAAGAGATAAAACATAAACTCCCAATTCCAAGCATTTCTAAAATTTGACTTTAAATTACTTCACAACATTTTAGCATGCGGAAGTGAGATATGTAGATGGAACTCTAATATTAACCAAAATTGTTCAAAATGTAATTATATAGGTTACACAATATATTCAACATGGGTAAAATTGTCGGAAGAAAGGAATAAATATGAAAATTTCAACTTCAAATCAAAAATTGCATCCAATTTAAAGATCTACGCAAACTGTCTAAATAAAAACGAAAAAGTAAATCATTATTTAGATCATTTTATTAAAAAATTTATATCATAAATATGTTTTTTAGTGAAGCTCTATATATTAAAATGTTCTATGTATTTGTAGAAATTGCATGTATTTATGTATGCTTTTGAATGTATTTGCTTTGTAAATATGTTATGTTGAAATAAATGTAAATAATTTTTAAAAAAATTCTAAAATTTGAGGGGCCTGAATACCAACTATTTTGGAAAATATAATTCGCCATTTTGTGTTTTTCGTCTTCAAGTCATAACTGGATCAAAAAAGAATGAATAACTAAGATAAAATATATAAAAATAGACAACTAAATATGTGCGATAGAAGTGCGAAATGGGATTTCATATGATACATTATCACAAGAACTTAATGCATGCACAGAGCTAGGGACGATAAAATCCCATGAAATGAGGACCAAGTGCTAGTGATTAAACAGTTGAAGCGACGGTTATGTCCGCCATTTGTGACAACGGTATCCGACTTTACCGTAGTCAGGCTATTCCGGTGTGAGTTTCATACATTAAATGTATTTAGGGTGTGTGTGTGTGTGGGGGGGGGTGCTAGTGCCGTGTACTGTTAGATATTTCCCTTCGCGTTCACGTTGTATGGTATAGTATCGAAAAGGCGTCAGTCTGTGGTTCAACATTGGTGGTAAAAATCAAAATTGATATTTGTATTAAGTCATATCTACATTCATTTTATAGTCCATGGTATCAATTTCATCTGCCAGTGTCATCGTCCCATGTGCAGATGGGAAGTTTTGTGATTGAAAATTGTTTTAAAACTACAATTCCTTAAACTGATTCACATTCAATTCATACTTATCCATAGCAGCCTTCCCATTCTGAGAAAATGGTGATTTGAATTAAAACGTCGCGTTTTCATTAAAATGTCAAATGCTACTACGTGAATAACATAGTGTGACAATTGTTCATGGAATTTGGCGTCAAATTTTGCGTCTAAAGGAATATTTTAGTATCAGTTCACTGTGTGAGCAGAGCACTATGTATGCTATTTGACTCTATGTCAAGGGTGCCCCAAACCATTTTGAACTTTTCAATAATTATAACTCAAGTGAAAGCAAACATGTTTTCTTGTATTACATGCATGTTCAGTTACGACCTACTTACCATCGTCATATTCCTTTTGTGATGAAGTATAGTCCTCTTTGCAAAGAAACCGCCCGGCCCCCATTGCGAACATCTCCTCGCCAGTTACTAGGGGCTTACGACAACTGGCGCAGGTGAAGCAGCCAACATGAAAAATATAACTTCCCGCTTTTCTCACCAAATCCGTCTTCAAAATTGATTGCCAACAACGGCTGCATTTTGTGCCATACACCCTAAAGAAAAAGCAAGTCGAACTTTTGAAAAGTGCGCATATGGAACTGATGATGTTTTGGCAGAGGTCGGGTGTCTTGAACATTTCTCATGAAACGCCAGCCCTTGTCTTTATTATTTTATAGCATAAATAGCAAAACATGTATGATATACACACATAATTCATAAGTTTCAGCTATAACGTTGGAATCTATGACAATGAAATAAATATTTACTTGACAAAGATGAGAACAATTTTATTTTTATAATCATATCGAGTGCGATATACAACTTCTGAGGCCAGGGAATGTAGCAATATATACTGAAATAAAGTTTCTTGTGTCATGCATGTTAAAGTGTACTATTATGATGTAATAATATATTCTTACCTTAGAAAGTCATCTTTACAGTAAATCTGTTCATTTCTACAGTAACATTTGTCGTCTAATACATCATGACAAATCACACATTTTAGACATGTACTATGCCAGGATTTTCCGGCTGCCTCCATGAAATACTTTTCTCTGATTTTTCCATCACAATTTGCGCATGTTGGCAACTCATTCGTTCTTACTTTCTCGGTCATTTGCTGTACTTTCCCTGCCAAACAAGTCATTACGTTGATATAAGATGTCCTCCAAATTGCTTCAATTGTTTTGCAATCGATTTCAAAAGAAAAATCGAATAGGCTAATTGGCTTGTTACGGTGCCTTCTTATATTGATCCCATTTACCGGAAAGGTTACTATTCAATTCAGCGCATTAAAGATGTAGATGATTTTGGTTTATAAAATTCACATGCGTGTTGACAGTTCAGAATGCTGGATGTTGTCCGAGTATGACATGAAAGCTATCCATGTATAGGATGTTGTCTTGCATTTAATAAGTGCTGCGTTGTGATTGGTCGGTGGTGTTTGTTTGAGAGCTTTCGTGCACCCCGTGAGATGCGGTGCAACCCGTAAACCAAAAGCGATCTCTGTTCTAGCTTTTAACCAGGAAATATTGGTTCCATGTGCTAGTTTGTACAAGTACTATGAGAAAGTGTTTCTATTATGAGCGATATTTCTGTATTTTTGTGCACCCCGTTGATATTGGTTAAAACATTTTGAATTCCCCTGGTCTAGGGTATCATTCATTTATATATGAGGGAATAAAATCTGATTGGTCAGTGGTATCATATTATCGGATCGGAGATGATGTTATGTTACGCCCAGTTTACATAACTATTGAATCGTGTTAAGTAATATTCCTAATTCAACAAAAATCGTTAAGATAAATACCCGCTGGTCATAATTCAATGCACAACAATCCGGGACAACAACGTTCTACCCGTATCTTATTTTAGATTACACATCTTTCAAGGGTCTCCTTTCAAGAGCACAACAAATGAATTCCAATCATTTAGAAATGTGACTAAAGTATATAATTTGAGGTCAGGAAAATACCACACGCTTTTGTTGCCATGCTACGGCTGAGCGACAGGATCCCTCAATAGTACTCTGTGGTAGTATCTGATATAATCATAATATCCACCTCAAAAACATATTAATTTTCAAATGTCTAATTCCTTAGACTCCAAAATGAATGAGGTTCCCGGAGTTTCATCCTCCTAAGCAGGTATCCAGAATCCGTACCTCCTTCTTCCCCGGTAAAAAGAAAGAATATATTCTGGATTTTGAAGCCCTGTGATCAGAGGATGCCGGAGTTTTGAATTTATATATGTCGCAATAGTGCAACCAACCATATGGGACTTTTTTACTCCAATTGGATGATTATTTTAATGATAAGGACATTCACACACTGACACGTGAACAAATGTTCTCAGAACATCCCAAAAGCTGACACCAAATTGTGAAATTTATAGAAATTACTCCACTTAGGGGAAAATAGGAAGAACAGAAAAGAACAGCAGTTGTGTAGATGAAAAAAACTTCATCAACTCGTATTTATTTTAAAATGTCCACTGAAGCATAAATACATAATACGTCGGATTTGACAATAAAGTGAAATGGTTTGAACATTGGATTTGGGAAGAGTTTGTTAAGAAAATCTGAAAAACGTATGTAAAGAAGATACAATTGCCATTTTAATTTTTTAATAATTTCTATATGTTACGTATTGTGCCATCGTATGGTTTGCATTGGCAGATTCCTCAAGCTTTTATTCTAACGCGACTTTTCCAAATAGCACGTTGGATTCATCTGAAAAGACCCGTGCAAAGTACCAATAGCTTAGCTCTATATCCCCTCCTTATCTGTTAATAAGCTTATATCATCGTTGAAATAACGCAATATGTGAATAATTGGATTAAAATCATCGTCATTGTTGTAGAAATTCTCAGAAACAACATTTTCCTATCATTTAAGTATATTATACCAAAATGTATATCGGCGTAACCAATCTCGACCAGTACCCTTCCAGCTTCTTGCAAGATTTGGTATGCGGGCAAATTTTATTTAAATGTAGACTACTAGAAAATCATAAGTATATCCAGAGGCCCATTGTACAGGGTGAGCCAAAAAAGGTAACCCAAACAAATGTTAATACTATATCTAGTAACTCCTCCATCCAGCATGATTTTTAAGATCATATTTGGAAATTAAACCTTATTCAATGTTCTTTCATTCTATATGAGTTTCATTGGGCTAATTTCAATGGTCACGATTTTGTGCATGCTCAAAATACGGAAACATGCCAAAATCAGAACACAGTTATTGAAAAAGAAACATCTAAGAGCACGCTCGATCATAAGGAATCCCCTCGCCCAATGAATAATCTAAACAGTGACATATCAATTAAAATGTATATATGTATCTGATCTAACACACAAACTATTTAAGGAATTGCATTGATTTATTAGGAAAGAGTCCAAAATAATTTATTCTGTCCGTTTTATTTTGTTTTCCTTCCATTATATGATCAAAGCGTTTGTGCAAACAGCAAGATCAACAACATTCAAACGTGAGCCTACTTATGACTGAAGTAAATAAAAACAACCAAGATAATAAGTAAACAATCCCTAGGTGTATTCCTCGCAGGAAGGAACATGTCTAGACCGTAAATCAGATCAGCTCCTGTAATCATCCCTTTGATCCATAATTCAAACCCCTCTGACGTACCTGAATTAAACATTATGATTGCGATTGGTACCTTTAAAAGTTGGTGCATATCGATTGAATAAATACAATCATATATACCGTGATGGGATGGGAGGAAGGTGTCTGGACAGCTGTCTTATTATAACATGTTTGATGCTCATTAGTGAGATCGTTAATTAGTCTCATAAGTGATCCAAAGAAGACTGTGACTTTGATCAGTCGACAAGATCCCGCAAATTGTTGAGCCAATATGATAGCAAATAAGGGTTAGCATTTTCATTGTTGAGTCTTACATCAAGTCCCCTGTTTTATTCCCACTTCCAGTTGATCAGCCTGTATGTTTAAATTGTGTGGGGCCTCAATTAGTGGGCCTTTTTGGGCATTACTTGACCTTTTTGGGCCTATTTATTTTAGGCCAACTTATCAAAAATGGACCTCAGCGCGGAAAATAGTTTTTCTGACTTGAAATGTGCCTCCCCCTCGTTAGTTTCTGGATCCGCCCAGATTCAGCCCTCTCATCACCAAGGGGTAAAATTAAGAAATCAATTATGTTTTTCAATCAAAAAATGCTTTGACAATTGGTTTCTATTTTCAATCTTAAAGTCCATAAAAAGCCTGTGGTCTCGCCCATGGTCTAAGCAAAACAGTATATTAATTATGTTGTTTCAACTTCGTGGTTATGTTAATTTCTCTTTAAAATGTTCACATAAAAGAAACGATTTCTTTTTGAAATCATAATTTTTCATTGCGTTTTCATATAAAACAGGAGAGAATGTACTTCAATTGCACAAAGAATATATGTGTGTCTCTCCCCATGATCAATTGTGTGATTTTGCTTTTCTCCTAGGTTTACATGTACCCTGTGCGTAGAGTCTAGTAATAAACTATAAGACGAAGCTCTCTTTTAAGAAGCGAAGACGAACGAATGCAAATGGTAGTTTATATGAGGGTGGGAGCAGAGGAGGATGTTGGTATGTGAAAATGTATAGTTTCAGAATGCCTACATGCCTGTAGCCAGGGGGAGGGGTCGAGCGAACCCCCCCCCAAATCCTTTCAAAATCATGCAGTTTTCACCATTCTGAGCACTTTTAAGTGATTTTGGCCATATTTGGACCAAACTTGTCAAACTGGAATTTTTCAAAGAGTGAACCCCCTTGGGAAATCCTGGCTACGGGTCTGGCCTATATGGACTGTTATGTCTAAGAAACTATTCATTGGAATCACTCGATATTAGACGTCATGCATGCTTGAGATGGGAATTCTAGATGTATGAGTTAATATTGTAGGTGCGGCAATAGAGGTCAAAGGTCAAATATTTGGCTTGTTGGAATCTACTTAACCTTGGTATGTAGTGTATCACTTATTCCATTTGTTTAGATTGTGTGTGCTCCTTTGGAACTTATTACAGCATTGATAAGTATACTTAAAAGTACATATTTAAAAAGATAATAAGGTCAAAAGGGATATGAAGATACCCAGTGTTAAGTCAATAATTAATATAGTTAATATTCTCTGGAGAAAATTTGGGTTCAAACTCTTTTGAGTTCATATTCTCTAAAGTATAATTTGATATTGGATTAGTTACTGTAAATCATTTCTCTGGCAATAGGGATATTTGTCATTTTGAAATTGATTTCATAAAACTAGTAAATACCCTCCTAGGGATGAACGGGTTAATACAAATAAAACCATGAGATAGAAGAATAAAAGAGCTTGAACCCCCCCCCCCCCCCATAACCAATACAAATAAAACCATGAGATAGAAGAAGAAAAGAGGAGCTTGAAAATGCTTTTTATTTGAAGCTTCTAGCTCAATTTTGAAGGAAGTTGCATCAATTTTTGCAAAATTCAAAATAATTCTTATTTCTTTGGCTTGTATATGCCAGAATCGCCCCTCCCCTAACTGAAAACCTAATTATTTTGGCGATCGCACCCTGCCACTCCCCGACTGAAAGCTGGCTACGCCCCTGGTGTATATATGCGAATGCACGTTGAGAAGAACCTTATCTTATCCTATCCAAGAGTTTGAATTTCCTTCGATAAACTACTAGCATTTGGAATAAGAAAAACATGTCTGTCATGAACATAAGCCCCGCATAAGCCATTCATAATGACACTCAACGTTCTGCATTGTAAGGAATGTGCTATTGATGACTTGGTCTTAGCAGATGGACAGAGTAAGAGCTCCATGGTAACGTATCATGTGTCAATCAGCCAAAGCTTTTGACAGCAACAGGCGAATTATATCCCTTTTAAACACGTGCCATTGCTTTTCCTTGGAGACAGCCGCGGGCTCTGAAGTCGTGTATAGAGATTAAAAGCCGATGGGACGTGTCTTATTACGTCGCGTGTGTAGCGTGTGACAGGACCCAGTTAACATTCCAATGAGGCCATGTTTACTTAGGGGAATTATTATTGTTATTTTTTCATAATTTGGATGTAGAATTTATTTTAAACTTTTACTCAGACCGTGAACCATTATGCATTTTCAGTACCGTCCAAACGGGTTTTTGGGGGTGCTACGAACCATTGTTAAAAAAATAATTGACAAATCCAACTCCAGTTAAGCATTGTTTAATATTCTTTCATTCAATAACCAAGTCTCATCGATCCATCTCGAACGGTCTACCCTGCGCGCAGAGTCTAGTTAAACAGGAGAGACTATATCTTAAAATGGACATTTTGAGACTCATTTTGAAAAATGGGCTTCAGATTTTGAAATAATGTGACCTTTCTAAAGCAAGGCCCAAATTTTTCAAAGATGCAGGCCTGATTTGATTTATTTTCCGATGGAGT